TATTAGAATGTTTAATTCATAATATAATTGGTAATGGTTACGATGTGCGAGGGCTTTGTCCGGTCAGATGACGTGGGATCGCTCATTTTAGATATGTTCAAGTATACTCATACGAGACAGTGCCAGGTTATGGGCCTAACCAGTCCCATAGAGTCCGGTGCAGAAATGTACGAGGCCACATATATATTTATTTTATTTACTTCGTTGTTCTATAATTTTATAAATTTTATGATCTTTGGTAGCGTCTTGATTTTCGTCAATAATAACAATAAACCGGAATTGGTAAACTGAGTTCCAAATAATTGGGTGAATATTTAGGCTAAGTAAATTGAGTCCCGACTAATAATGTACTACAGTAATAATATATCACTATAATAAACAATATTAAATTATAAACTAAGTAGAATGTTTAATAGTCGTCAGCCAAATATTTATAATTTTATTGATGTACTTAAAGATATAAAAATAAATACATATATAAAAATACATTGCGAAGAGGAAATTAAAATGTAAAAAAATGGCAATAGAAAAAGAATTATTTTTGTGACAAGAAATGATTAAATATGAAAATAAACATTTTTCACGACTTGAATTTGTTAAAATCATATCATATACATTTTTACATTGTAGAAAAAAAATAGTAGTTAATTTATAGTAAATAGTAAGTTTTTTATTGTTGTTGTTGAATATTCTTTAAAGATTTAAAACTATATTTAAAACTTTACAATGCCAAAATTTCCAAGTTCAAAATTAGCATTACTTAAAATAAATGGATTAGACCATCTAACGAATTAGGTCAGGATTTTAAATCCTTAAATAATGATTCAGTTTTTTGAAAATAATTTATTAATTGAAAAAAAAAATATTCAGAAATTATTAATAAAAACAAAAGCCAACTAATGTTAAAATAAATTTCTAAGATACACCAAGGTGAGAACGTTGACTTCAAGTGTTCTTCTATTCTACATTTTTCCGTAAAAATATCGAGTTTTAAGTATGTACCCATAACAAACATTGATGTGAAACGAAGTTTATTTGCGTACAAATAGATACATTCTTACGAGCCGTTAAAATTTAACGTAGACAAATATGCAACATATTTGTTTTATATAGTTTCGTTATTATTTTTCCAATAACGATTGAATTTTATATTTTTTTCATCACAATCATAAAATATAATGTAAATAATATTTTAGTTTATTGATATTATAATTTTTTCATCATTTTATACATTTTCAATAAGAAATTAATAGCTATTATAATCAAAAATAATTTTCCATATTTTGTGCTTTTTAAGTGCATATTTTATAGTTCAAAACATTATAAAATCTATATAAAAAATGTAATATTAAAAAACGATATAAATCTGGTTTTTTATTATTAAAAATTATAATACAAAATCAAATATTATATTCCTATGTAATATTGTTGGATTGTTAATGAAGTCTCTTAATATTTGAATATTACGCATTGTATTGTATTGTACATTGATTATGAATTATAATATCCGGTACCGGTATGATATTATTCGACCTGAGTAGTACGTTGACCCATACCGATCAACAACACAATGTGTTGTTTAGATCATTTTAAGTGACTATTCTATATTCATAAAATGTTGACATTTGACACTGATAATTCAATTTATTGCATGATAATTAAATCAAAAAACAAACTGGTTGCACTTAGTACAGAATAATAAAACATCAAACATTTGTTTTGAATAATTAAATATTTTCAAATGTATAAATTATTTATTAGTCATTATTAAATAATTATACAAAAAATATTAATAAAAATATGAAATGAAAATAAAAGTTAAAAATATTTACACTTCAATAATAATCCAGGAATAACTTTTATTTTTATATCTCATATTTTATTTACATAATTATTAATTATTATTTTTATCATGATATTCCATAAAGTATTTACATATTTATCAATGCTTTATTATTATTTCAAGAGTATTAATTATTAAAAATTGTATTTTTGATTACATTTTTTACTTTATTTATTTATCTTTATTGTTAATACAATTAAATAAATATGCATAACTATTAATATACATACAGATATTCATTTAAATAAATAGTTTAATAATAATTTAATTGAATGTAATTATAAATATACATACATATATATAATATGTTACATATATTTGAATAGGGTTTCGATTTATAAATCAGTTTCTAACAACCTGGATTACGTTAACATTTATTTTATAACTCTAACCTAACAATGTGATTGATGTAAATCGTGAAAAACCATAATGCATTCAAACCAGTTGAATAGTCAATCAAAAAAAAAAATATTAATGCTTGTTTCCTATTTTGTTGATAATATGGTACACATTAAACTGTATATATGTTAATGCGATTTATTTGAGAATATGAACTTTATCCAAACATATAATTCCTTTTTTTATGTCTTCCCTCACCAGATCGTAAAATGTATGAGATATGTTTAATGGACGAAACTGATCCTCCTACGATTTGCTGTTCAGATTTGCTTGTTTATTTTGTACGCTCGGGATTTACATACAAACACTACCATGCACAACCCATTCAGAACCGTTTTAAAAAGGGTTGCCATACGTTCCGTAAAACCAGGATTGTCACCGATTTTGGACATCATATCCCGGTGTCCCAAAAAATATTTTCGATACGTCCATATGTCCCGGCTTAGACGTTTAGAGGAAATGTAGTATTGTTTAATTTTAATTTCTACCATTTTAATTCGTAATTCGTAATCGATTAAAAATATGAAATAAAAATATAATTTTAAATTTACACATATAAATATTTAACATATTTTGTTTTACAAAAATATTTTTAAGTATTATATTGCCGGTCATTAATGGTCCTCTTCAGTGGCATATACATAACTTTTGTCTTTCTATCATTATTTTTCTTTTACGTTTCTAACGCCTTACACTAAGAACATTATTTTATAACATTAAAAAAAAGGCCTAGGGGGAGATCTGACCCTCACATCCCCCTTTGTATACGCCACTGTTCTCTTAGTTGTATAAAAGTATATTACTCAATAACAGCCATAGAAAATAAGAACTTGGATGTTGTCACGTCGATACATGCGACAACGAATTTCTACGTAAATTTAAATAAAATTATGTCATTCTTCTCACCCCGGCAATAACCAAAATAATTTATAGCTGTAACTATTTAGAAATTATAAAAACTGAAAATGTATAATAGCACTTGAATATAAATGTAAGTTAATTTTGTTTTATTTAATTTACTAATATTTTATGAAGAAAAATTGTTTAGAAATAATATATTAATATCAATAATCTCTAATGGGTAATCGAGTATTTCTAATCAATCCGGATCTTAAGGGACCCTTTTAAATTTTCTTAAACTTGCGACGGTCCTGAATATAATTATACATCCCATTTGGGAACAATTGATCAGTGAAATCTGAATAAATACCTACATTATTTAATTAATAAAATGTCTTATAACTTAATAATAATACTTAATATAAATGTACACAACTTTTATTGGTAATACATTTTAAAAACTGTAATTTTACAACAAACATAATGTATATATAATACATATTTGTTAAACACGTATTCACTTTTTACCGGCATGATTTCAATAAAAGTTCGAAAAATAATACCCATACCAAAGTGCAACTGTTAAACTGAAACCGAATTTATTTCGTTTTCATTTCGAATATCATAACAAAATAAATATATTTTTGTACCAAACTATAAAAAAGAAAAAAAACTAATCGACCATCTTTGGCCGTTACAAACAAAATCTGCTTGTTGTCCACCACAAAAATTAGTTTTGAAAAAAAAAAAACAAACATAGTTTTATGTTCTAATTGTCGCATTCGTGATTTGAACCTTAGCATTTATTATGCGGGTATATTACATTAATTTCACAGCGCATTTTTAGAATTTATTTGACTGTTGTATTTATCATCGCCGTACAAGTCTACGAAATAGTATTAGCGACGACGACGGTGCGTTTAATAAATAAGACAAAACTGCTTACATTAACACTATGGTATATTTGACGAGTAAAAACTGGACGACATTTCAATGCGAACACATCGCGAAAGACATAATATTACGACTAAAATTATGTATTTATACTACACAGCCGTACACTACTGCTAACGTGTACAACCCGTAAAACCGTTCATACCCGTGCACCACGTTTCGTGTATATTTGTACAACATAATGTACATACGTAGTACACACAAACCGTACGTGTATATACGTATTCCATGATGTTATGTTTTATAACCATCCGTGTCGTATTGGAGGAATTTAGCGACTAGCGTTTATGTTTTCGAAGGAGTCGCGCAACAGGACGATAACAGTGCAACGCTCGTAACGGACGTAACTGTAGGAACATTGGTTCATGAATGCAATAAAAGGATAATTCTAATTTCAAGCCATATCCGAGACGTTCGTCCTAGATGACATTCTTTGCGTACGAGTCCTGCGGGACGTGTAAACACTGTTCGTAAGCGAGACACGGAGCAGCAAATGTTTGTTATTCACTGCGTTGCCAAGGTTGTTTAAAAGTCGTTTGGATAACGAAATCACGAACATTAACCGCTCTACAGCACGAGGGGAACGAAAGTGCGGGGTCGAATAGAACATTAATGCACGATAACAATTAAACGTACAAATCGATCGGGTCGAAACAAGCTAATTGATCGCGCAACGTTAACAATACACGTTTTAAATTGATCTCTACCGTTCTTTTTAACATGTAAATAAAATCGAAACAGATAACGGGAGACAACGGGATCGGATTCGATCGGAGCAACTGCTATTATTCCACGGCGTGCGATTGTTATGACCATTACCACTATTGTTACACGTCACGACAGGATTTCTCTACAGTTACGTCGTGTTACGAATACGCAATGGAAAAACATTTTTCCGACGGGCACGCCCGCTGTGCTATCGCGCTCTAGAAGAGGATAAAGATAAACAACGTATTGTACGTACCGGCCCATTTGCCGCACTTGGCAAAGTCAACGGATCCGCGGCAAAGGGCTGACGGGCCCAGTACGTGCCGGTAAATGAACTGCATGGCGGCGCGGGTGAAGCGGAGCACGACGATGGCGACCAGCAGGAGGCCGAGCTTTTCAAGCACGCTGTTGGTGGACGCGGCCGAAGCGGCGGTGGACGTCGCGGATGCAGCTGGAGACGACATGGTTGCTGTTGCTGCGACGGGAACGGGACCGGTGTCGGGGAACTGCGGGGAAAAAAAATACTAAAGGCTGTGTGAGTTGTAGTAGTGCTGTTGCTACTGGTGGTCGGAGACGACTGTCGGTCGCGGTTCGAAGCTAAAACGGTTGGAGGCGCGCGAGGAATGTGCGACAACGCAGCGAAACGTAAGAACGCGGTGCGACGTTTCGTGCACTAATAATAAAATTTGTATCGAGTAACAGTGTCGGCGGCGGCGTCGGTAGCGGGAGGAGCGGCCGCGACGAGTAGAGGTGGGGAAGGAAAACGCTGACCACTGCGACTTAATTTATGCGTTCGCAACGTGTACCGGTGTGCGTACGTGCGCGCGAACGAGTCGTGACGTCCCGGGCGGAGACGTTTGCGCGCACGCGAAAAATTCGATTTTCCAATACCGGTTCCGCGTGGCGCGAACTGAGAAAACGTTGTCCGACGCACGCGGATATCGGTCGTTCGAAATAGGTTGTCCATAATTTTTTATATGATTTTTTTTTTTTTTATTTCCCTCCGCGGTCGTTTCCGCGTTTCATCGTTTTTTTTCCCCTCTCATCTTCTTCGAACCCCCTCTGCGCGCCGGCTAATTCCTGTTCTACCGGTACCGGACTGCTGCTGCTGACCTACAAGTTCAATATCTGTACCGCGCCAAACTCGTTCCAAACTGACGTTCGATTACATTATTATTTTTTTAAATTTTTTTTTCCTCTTCTCGTCGTGCACGCGGAAACGAATGCGACGTCGACGCCGCCGTCCAACGGTACGAGTTGGATCTACGTACGAATCGTACGCGAACTGCGAGCAGACAACGAGAACGATATCGTTCGCGAACGAATGTAATGATGATACAGAGGCGTCATTTAGGCGGGACAACTCGTGCGTATGGCCACGTTCTATTCTGAAAATAACGTATTTCATGGAGCCTTTGACGTGTTGTTAATGAGAAAAATGACACGTGTACTATACGGATGGTTGTGTACTCATTATTGTACGAATCATTAAATTTTTTGACTCGTTTGATGTCCCCCTCCCCCACGTCAATCGGCATTTCGGTTGAATGAGCCGCCGAGTCGGCGATTCAATAAGAGCGTGCCGAGAGAAAATACTGTAATCGTAATAATAACAATAATAATAATAACAATAATTCGATTGAAAATATCGCATTACATTTTACGTATCGAGTATACGAGTACTTACCTACGTAAAACCGAGTTTTTCGCTCTCCGGATGATTTAGTTTCAATCGCGGATCATTGACGTTGACTGCGCACTGTGTTCGCGTAACCGTCCGCGTACTTGGCGTCAAAAGATTAGAGCGGCGAATCAAAACGTATGTGCACTACGTGTGTGTACTTACGATTTACCGCTGCTCTGTTCAAATTAATAGCACTATAATGCTGAAGTTATGCGTTGTGATACGCTCTTATCGACGGAAATGTGTGTGTGTGTGTGTGTGTGTGTGTGTGATAGCGAGTACGACACGCCGGTAAGACTTGAAACGTGTTTTCGGGTGATAACAGGAACGGCTGATAACGGCGGTAGTCGAGAGCACTTGGGCTGCCGGGATCGATACGACGCGGACCGACGCGCTCTCTCGCAGCAGGGCCGGCGACTGTCTTTCTTTTACGAAACGAGTGACACGGCAACACTCGCGCGCGCAAACGTTTTTGACGACACACCGTTTGAAAACAACGGCGTCGGTCGACCCGTGTTATTACGACGTGAAAACACTAACAGGGCCGGATTATAGTCCCAAGAACTTTAGGCCGTTTCGCCCGAAATGATTTCATTTTTTTTAACCAAATTAAGTAATCTGTAATAAATATCAATCAAAATAATTATAGTATACTGTGGCATGGTTACAATTAATTGATCAAACAGTACTTTATATTTGTTAACCAACGATTATTTAATACGTTTTATTGATAATACAGAGAAATCATATTTAACTCCGATTCCATTATACATTTTTTCGTCGTACGCAGTGTCGAAAAATTATTTTACTCATTATTTGATGCCTTAATAAAAAAAAAAAAACAAAATCAGATGCACATTGTGACCCTTTTCGACTTGCGACTCGGGGCTATAGGCCCTCCCTTGGTGCATCCCTGAACTAAAGAATGTCAGTGAGATCCTCGTCCCGTCGAGATCCGGGACAACGGTCGGACAAGAGGGGCGCTACCGAATGCAGCTGGTGCGGTGCGCACGTCGCGTGTGAACGCAGCCGGACCGAGTTACGATAAAACAACACGTACACCCATCGTTCGTAACACCAGTAATGTAGTGGCAGACGTTGCATAATTATATTATTTACTTATAATATAATCAAACAACGGCCGTTGATGATGAGGGGAGAGGGAGAAAAACATATAAATTAATTATGACCGTAATAATGCGCGGATTGATATTCGACGCGTTCGCGTTCAATGGACGCTCAGGATCGACGGACGGACGCGGTACGTATTTGCTAACCTTTTTGGCCTTTGGTCGTCGCTACACGCACGGCGATAAGACGTCGTTGTGATGATGACCACCCGACGAACAAGGGCTTCGTAAACACGTCGCACGGATCGGTAAAATATAATACGATCGTTCTACGGCGAAGAATCTCGTAAACATTATCCGGCTCATCCGTTGATATACGTGTGCGATAATTCACGACGTCGCAGGACACCGTGTTCCGTGTTTTCCGTTGTTGAGTCGTGGTTTGGCCAGAGTCCGTCGTGGACTGGTTCGACCGTATCGTAAGCAGTTCGCGGACCTTGGATCGAAAATGAAACGCATAACAATAATTACAATAAAGGACGACGCGACGTGTTAAAAACGTTTAAATTATCGTGTGTCCGAGAAAGAGAGAGTGAGAGAGTGAGAGAGAGGAAGTGAGCGCGCTTTATTATGACGAGTTTTTAGTGGAAGTTAAGCCGTTGGATACGGAATAAGCAGTTTACTAGTTATAAAAAAAATAAATATTGTTACGTCGGGGGCGTTGAGAGGTTTAATACGCGCACGTGCACGCGTATCGCGGAACAACGCGTCGTCGTCAATCCGACGTTACGTCTTACTGTCGTTTTATTTTAGCTGCTTTCCAGCCGCTGGATTCAATTGCTTTTTTTCACCATCAGTTATGTGCGCGCATAATTTCTTCGGCGTATATGAGACACTTTTCGTCTGCTGTGTTTCGTCAAAAAAATTTTTTCACCTCACGCGGTACGCTCATTTGTTGCAAAACGGCAGTAATCGATGAAAATGTTTAACGTTAAACTAACATAAAACAAACGTAATAAACGTAAAATAAAAATGAACGTTAAATCATATTGTTTTACTCTGTTGATACCCAATCACAATATTCAAAATGTGCGTATATTTATTTTGGATTTGTAGTGTTGAATATTAACAGCCATCGTATTTTATTTTGCAATTAGTAGCCGAAATTAATATTTATTTGCCATTGTATGAAATCCACGTAGTATTGGTTTTATGAAAAGTACATTTGCCTATAAATTATACGCGTCTATATATATTGAACAATGAACGGAAGTATCCAATTAATACGTTCTGGCTTCACTTGAATCGAATTACATTATAATATTATATAAATAAGTTGTAATTAAAAACGGTAATATTTGATGTTTCTGTTTAATTTCGCAGGACTTTTACAGCGGTAATTTTATGAATATTTATTTTTATTTATTTTTTGCAAACATTTATTTTTAATTAATTTTTTAATGCGAAAATATTTCTACGTTGTAGGTTAAAAATAGTTAATTATTATTTAGTCAGTGGCAACGAAATATGCAAAGAACATAGTAACAGAATTAAAAACATTTCTCATCTCGTAGGCGAAATATTAATTGTTAATAGTAATTTATAATTACCTATTGTATGAGTGGTTATTAGAATACATCGGTGTAGTTTACAACCAGTATTACTCGTAAAAAAGTAGAAAAAACCCATATTTTCAAGACTGTTGCAGAAACTACGCAATTTATTTTCTAGTTACCCCTCCAGAAGATGTATACCGAATATAACCAAACCGCACTTTTATTATTTTTTTTTTTTTCTAAAAACTATAAAATATAAATTTATAAACGCGTTATAAAACTAGTTTTCATAATAAATATATTCGAAATCTTTGACTCTTAATACTTTTCTACTCATAATATATATAGAAATAAGATATTTAATAATAATCACAAATTAATCAACAGACATATTTATAATTACTAATACCACATAAGTTCTCTGCCTAATAAAAACGTAAGATTAAAATTGTTTTTATAATTACAAATATGTTGCATTTTATGCACTATTTCACATCAATAAATCTCTTGATGATTTCGTAGACACTGTAGAGAAATTGCATGCCAAAAAATAAACATAAATTGGAATGTCCAAATTGCATGTCATCTTTTAGAGGGATCTGTCTGAATTGTATACCATGTCTTAGAGGGATCTGTCCGAATTGCATCCTGTGCATCTCCAAGTTTATTTATCATGTACTTATGTGTACAACTTAAACTTTATTTTTGAATTTTCTATTTTTTAAAAAAAAAGATGAATATAAACTGATTAGAACACGAACGTTTACAATAAGCCCACTTTTCAATATCATTGCACAATAATTTTTCAATCATCAATTACAAAAATGGTTTTGTTTTTCATTTAACATATTTTGAACTTGTGGTTCCATGATCACACTACAATTAAATTATTGTGGACGAATTATCGTTAACGTTCCAAAATATACTAATAAGACACAGAAAAACAGACAAGTGATATCTTCATTTTGATCTAAATTATATAATTATTATTAATATTATTTATGGTCATAACGGCGTAGCTCTACTTTTATTTTCTTAAAATTATTTCAGATTAATGTAATAATGCTTATAAAATTGAACAGCAAACCTTTAAATGATCGATACGTATGTCTGTGAAATTGTAGAATCTTGCTACTGAGGAAATATACAGGAGAAATATTTGGTATTGACTTAAGCGGAAGTCCCGGAACTGAATGGTTGGCCAACTTGGATGTTCGACTGAAGATTGTTATTTTTAGTTACGAAGAACTTTTCTGTACTTTTTGTTTGCTACATATCTATTTATTTATTTGTTTCTATATCTATATATTTTTTCATTTATTTATTTATTTATGTATTTGTTAATTTATTTATTTGTTTATATATTTATTTTTGTGTTATGCCGACGCCATATGCTAATATATGTCTGTGAAACACACTACAATACACACATTAAGTACAGTTTGGTAAAATGTTTACTCGGATATAAAAAATATTTCAATCTAGAAAGTAATCAGTTGTAACAACTAAATCATAAAGAGTTTAAGTCAAAATAAAGTTTAAGTTGTGCACATACGAGTA